TATTCTGATTTCTTTTAAAAAGTGTAAGGCAATAGCTCCAAAATAAATTTTCATAGTGGGTACACATATAGACCTGGAAAACAAATCTAAGCTCTAGTTTTAATCACTCAAAGTTTTCTACTCCCAGTTGCTCAGAATAACTGTTTTCATATTGTGACATAAAAAGTTGTCACTCCCATGTGTGTGACGCGAATCACCACTCCCATGTAGTGTGTAGGTAGTGTGACATACAAAGTCACCACTCCCATTTTTGCTTCTCTTAAGAACCATTGACACCCGAAAAATTATGAAATATTCAATGCAGTTTAAACTGAAAAAAATTATTGCAGTCCAAAACAGAATTGTTTCAATAAATGCATTTTAAATATAATTAGATTTTCAGACACTTAAAATATTTACAAATTATCACAAATTTTTTGTTAATTGTTATAAGCACTATCTTAATATTTTCAGTACGCTCAAATACAACATATGTATTTAAGACCTCTAAGACACAAATTGAGTCTCCTCTGATCTGGAATAACTGAAGAAGTTTGCTGATGTAAGGCAGCAGTAGTAGAAAAGGCAAGATAAAGAGAACCAATTAGACTACAACCATGTAACAGAAAGTATCAACAAGAACAGACCCCAAAAATTTCTGTTAGTAGGTTATGATTTCCTCTTTACCTCAGGTAAGCAGCATGAAATATTTAAGTACCAGTTAAGGCTACCACAACCCCAAAAACCAGAGTGCTGAAACATGTTTATCAGCAGACATGACTTTGCAGACATAAAGCTTCATATATGTGCTAGTAACAACTCGAGTTAGTCTCATTTGGAAAATGGTGACTTAGTGCAAATTGTGACATGCTGCAGGGATCACAACTTTTCAAGGGCAAATCAAATTATATTCTTTCTGAAGCTAGTGACCGAAACATGGCCATAAAAAACTCAGCAGGGGCAGGATATACTGCCTCCGGTAGCCTGCTGCTTCTCAGAATTTTCTTATCATTTGCAGTTTGTGTGTGTCCAAGATCTAACCTGCAGTCCACTGCAAGGTTCCAAATGTAGTTGGAGTGGGTAATGTTAGTACTGCAAACTGCATGCTCTGAGAGAAAAAAAGCACAAGAGACAATATTTCAAGTCTGATCATGGTTACAAACCATATACCACTGTGCCATTTGAATTGCACTACTGAAAAAGAAAAGCAGCCCATATAATATCAATGCAGTGTGCACAGCAGTGTGAACATTTTTGATCTGGCTGTGTTGGTTAGGATAACAGAAGGAACACTTTTAGTGAATGCAACATAAATCCCCATTCTGAGTTACACTGGAAGATCAAAAGCCCTTATGCCCACCCCCCTTCTTTTTTTCTCCTCTTGATACAAGCTGATTAGCTCATTTTATTAAAAACTGAAAATTGATCTAGTTTTTTCCCAACAAAGGCTGGTTTTTTTCCAACAAACCCTCCGGTTTGGGTATTGTCAGTGTAGCTTCACAGGTAAATAACAAGTGTAGATGGAACCAAAACCTGGTACCTATAAAGAAAAAGTTTCCATAATATTGTGTTCATTTTGCTATAATAATCTTTGTAGAGTTTTACAATCAACACTAAGGACTTACTCCAACATATTATTAGTTATATGTTTCTAAACAGTAGGTCAGCAAATGAAGATAGAGAATGAAAACTTCATAAATCATGAAAGATTACATCTGAGGTATTATTACATTAAAAATAGAACGTTTTATTACTGGGATGTTAACCACCTAATGTACATTGTAAGAACAGGTAAGCGTTAGTGAAAATGTTGACAAAAAACCTGGGCCAAAATTAAAAAAAAAAAAATAACCCTGAACTGAAAAGTCATTGTCAGAATAAACAATTCTATTAAAATAAGTAACCAAAGACACGCCACTACAAAATAAAACAGAAACTATCCATACAACTCACAAAAAGAAAACAGATTATCTGACCCTGAAAGACCTATGATTCTGCAAAGACTCATACAGGATTATGCTGTGTTAGGCTGGATTTCATTTAATCTGAGCAGAAGTCAGAAGTGCCCCTAACCAATATGAGCAGGATTAAACCCATTCCAGCAGGAAGAAAGGACAGAAATTAAAAATAGATTTAAAAAACTAGGTGCCAAAGGTATCAGTCTTTGATTTTAGAATATTCAAAAGCTTTAGAAGACAGAAATTAAAAAAAAAGAGTAAGTACTAAATTTACAGAACTTTACCTTTGGCATGCTGTTTGCCAGCTTCACTAGAAATTGTTTGTCTGAAATTGCCCAGAACAAGAGAAAACGAAAAATGTCTGATTACTTTGACAGAGATTAGTTTTAGTGAGAAAAACTAAAAATCTAAATAGAGTTATCAACTTCAACTACTTAACCTAAACAGACAGGAAGTATTTCCAATGAAGTCTTTGTGCAAAGAAGTTACTAATGGTAACTTAGGACAAGAATGAAAATTACTCAGTGGCTCAAATTATGCTTACACCAGAGTTACACACAGAATTGACATTGGTCTTAATGACAGACCTTTTTAAACATAATGTAATGCTGCTGAAAAGCACAGCATCCTATTATATTTGTTCTTTACAGCATGGCGATACATTTGCCAGCTTCACTTTGTCAAATATTTTAAATTACAACCTATTTTGCAGCAATTCAATAGTCAAGACTATATTATCAAGGGAAATTGGGAAGCCCTGTACTATAATCTCACTCATTCTCAAGAGCAACTAGTAAGCCTTGTTGATGATACAGAAATATAAACATTTCCACTACATATTCCTTTATAACAAAGATAATGAAAATTACACTGTTTAATTTCAAATACTTGCCTTAACCTGTAATATTTCACACACTGTGCTGCCAACATTCCCACTACATAGCATACTACATCAGGAACAAACAGTTCAATATTGTCAGCACAAGCTCAAGCAAGGCTGGTTAAGATTAGTTACAATGAAAAGGAATAATAACAGAAAATAAGGTTATCCACTATGAGAATGTGTAAAGCATTTTCATATCTCATGATTCCACAATCTCTGAAAAGAGAAAAAGTTGGGTCCAAAACATGTCATAAAGGTGACTACTTGTTCCAACACTCTTTCACTTTGGGCTATTTTCTATCAATCAGAAGTCACAAGTAGCATCTAAACTGCTTAAATGACTTGCAGCATGCCTCTGGCTCTATCACTGTTGCTCATAGCTTTCACAATCCACCTGCAGCACTATGCGCTGCATGATAATTTCTTAGGTAGTTTTAAAAAGCTCAGTACACTACCTGCAGTAATATGGAGTACAATACATATGGAGAATTAGCTTCTCCAACAATCATTTTATGGGGAAACTGAAAAGTTCAAATTGAATAAACATTTGAAGAGTCCAGCAATTTACCATCTCCAAAAGCAAATCAGTAAAGTAAGTCCTAGACTTTTGAACTTCCTCTTGAGAGTTATTAAAAGTGTACTCATAGGACTGTCCATGCATTACAAGGAAGCTACTCTACAAGAACACATCAGCACCAGACTCAGACCTCTTCACTCAACACTCTTTAAAAGTGATTACTTCCCACATCTAACACTTTATATATATACCTACACACACATCTACTTAAGCAAGAGTTCCATGCATATATGAAATTGCTCCCAATGACAGGACTTTTAAAATGCAATGCTGCTTAAAAACCTCATATAATTAAAAGTAAGAACAACAAGGAGATACATTTTCAGTAGGATATCTGCTGAGTAATGGATGCTTTCCTTGCTAGGAGATGGATAGAGAAAATTAAAGTTTGAACATGTGCTGTCCGAAGTTTTAACACGTCCTGGTCCAAGGATCAGGACTACCAGATAATCTATTTAGAAAAATGCCTACTAATAAAAATTGAGTTTTCTACGAAGATGTAACTTAGGTATTTTCCACAATGAAGAATACAATATTAAAAAAGTATTTAAAAAGTAATTATTTGTTCTTGACTCGGGAATAAAGGTTGTTCTCAAGAATAAAGGCTGCTATTTATCTGCTTGTAGTTCAGCCTGTTTAATCACAGTTCAGAGATAAGACATCAAACCATACAAAGTGTTGAATACTTCCAAAAATTCTTAGATATAAGTAGATGAATGGCACTGCAAGCATAGACTGACCTCTTCCCCCATCACACCTAAACGCTCTGGCCTACAAAGCATTTAGCTCTTCCAGCTTTGAAATAACACACCAATTTTAATTGACAGTTACTTCTTATCTGAAGGAAGAACAGGAAAAAGCTCACTGCCTCCATGAAAATGATAAAGTCGGGAAATGGTGTACAAAGATTATTTCATAAACAATAATGATCTGTCCCTGACCTCCCTTCTGAGAGTGTCCTGATGCTCCAAGGCAAACCACATTTCAGTATCCAGGGCACATATTTTGGACATAGTAAGAGGAAATAAGTCTGTGTAATGCATTTCAGACAAAGTATGAACTATGAAAGTACTACTTCCGTGAAATATATATATATATATATTTATTTTTTTTTTTAAAAGAGACAAAAATGTGCATGACTGTCTAACAGCACCGGACATGCAGATCGGGCATCGTGGAAGTTTCCCTTGAAAGTTACCAGCAAAGCGCGGAGCTCACTACAGGCCGTGTGTCTGTGCAAAGCACACATGTCCACCGTTCAGCACGACCAGGGCTGTCAGGGGCAGAGGAGAAACGCTCCGTGCTGAGGCAAACCCTGCCTTCTCCCGCTGCGGAGAACGGCGGAGTCCCCGCCGCTGGGGGGAGGCTGCTCAGCGGTAAGTGGCACGCTGCTGAAGCCAAGGGGGCCGGGGACGCTCACTACCTGCCACACCACCGGCGTCAGGAGGGCTCCCGCAGCCAAGTCCCGCCTCACCACCGGGTCTGACCACCGCGGACCCCGACCCGTCCGCGGGCCGCTCACAGCCGCCCCCGCGCCCCGGCTCCCCGCGCCCGCCCAGCCCTGCCCTGCCCGCCGCCGGGAGCGGGGATGCTGCTGCCTTACCTGAGCCAGGACCGTCGGGAACACGCGCGGCCGCCCGCTGTAACACGCCGCCAGGCAGCCTCCCCCGACCAGAGCAGCGGCGGCGGCGGCCCCCCATGCGGACGGACGGCGCTGGCTGCGCGGGGGCCGCATCCCGGCGAGCCGTCCCCGCAGCGGGGCTCGGGCGGCCGCCGCCACCGCCGCTCTCCACGCCGCCGACATCTTCCCGGAAAGCGCCGCGGCGGCGGCGCCCCGCATGCGCAGTACCGGGCCCGAGGCCGCGGGGCGGGGGCAGGCCCGGCCCGGTTCCGCCGGGATCGCCCTGGGCCCGCTCCGCCAGCGGGAGCGACGCCACCCGCACTGCCGGAAGGAACGGAGCTGGCAGAGAGGTAACCTGAAAGGAGGGTGTAGCCAGGCGGGGGTTGGCTCTTCTCCCAGGCAACGAACGACAGACAGCACGAGAGGACATAGTCTCAAGCTGCGCCAGAGGAGGTTTAGGCTGGGCATTAGGAGGGATTTCTTCACAGCAAGGGTGGTTAGATGTTGGAATGGGCTGCCCAGAGAGGTGATGGTCTTTAAGGAAAGACTAGACGTGGCACTCACTGCTATGGTCTGGTTGACATGGCAGTGTTGGGCCACAGGTTGGATTCGATGATCCTAGAAGTCTTTTCCAGCCTAGCTGGTGCCCTGTTTCTGTAACGCAGGCGGGTGCGCCCGCTCCCTCCGTCCCGGGCCGGGGAGCCCCATGTGAGGGCAGGCGGCAGGGCCCCCTTCCAGGCGGGTTCCTGGTGGGGATGGAAGGCGGGCAGGGCAGGGGCCAGGTGTGGGGTTGTGCCAGGGGAGGGGGCACGGAAGGCCTGGCTGTGCAGCAGGGAGTGGAAAGTGGCGATGCTTGCAGCGGTCCTGCGGCCCCAGGGTGCCCCGGCCACCCCCGTGTGTCTGTCAGAGCTCAGCTTCGCCTCGCTCCCTGGTGTGACTCTTCTTCCAGAGCAGACTCCCACTGCTGAGAGCATGAGGTGCAATGGGCCACCAGCGGGGCTGGAGGTACTGCGGGAAGCCCGGGGTACTGAGCAAGGCAGGTTAGGTGAGCTTCCACAAGCAGGGCTGACCCGGAGCTGATGATTTCCTAGCGTTGATGACCTATACGGATGTGTTGCTCAGTGTGTGATCCAGATCAGAAACAAACAAAACAAAACAAAACAAAAAAAAAAGCGTGAGCAAGTTTAAAATATCCTCCTCAAGGGCAGAGTAGAGTTTCTCGTGAAATACAGATGACAGAAGATGAGTTACAGAAATTGTTGTGGCAGAGGTGTTAGCTGAGAAGCATTACAGAATGATTTGGTTGGCTGTAGCACTTGTGCCAAAGGACGACTACTCACCAATGCTTCAGAGTGCTTTTTTTTTTTCCTCACTGCCATAGTTTTAACAAAGCTCTCTAGGTCTTGGTTGATTACATTCAAACATTAGTTAGTTGATCACATTCAAAAATTGGGCCATCTGAGAGTTAATGGCGAGGTCATATGAAGTAAATCAGAGAGTAAGTTAAATGTCATTTATATGTTGGCAGTACCGGTATCCTTGTTATCAGAGTAGTTCACCTGGTCACTCCATGTGAATGCAGAGAAAGACTGCTGAGAGAAAAGCTGCATGCAATTTTCTGTTACTTTGGTCTTCGGTTGAGGGCCTTCAGAAGGTGCTCAGTCTGTTTTAGCAAACTGTATCTTCCAGCTCTTTCTGATATGACAGACAGTGCTGTGTTGTCAACATTATAAATGTTCTGGTGTGGGCTCTGAAACATGGAAATGCTTTTTTGCCCTCTATCCACTGACTAAAGGTGATCATCCATCACTGCCATCAAAGTAATTTTACTTCACTCTCCTTCCCTGACCTGAATTCAGAATAATGAATTCAGTTTCATAGAGCATAATTTCAGTCATTTAACTAATGGCATTTCAGAATTTATCCAGTTTTCTTCTGGCATGTGTTGTTCACTGAGTGTCATTCTGTGAAGTGTTTGAGACATCTTCAAGAATCTCACGACTCAAGTCCTTAGCAGGATACAAACCTTTCAAAAACACCTTCTCTGGGGAACACATATGACTGCTCATTGCAAAATCACTGAGGAGTGCAACATGCAGGATGAATGGTTTCCATCTGCACGTGCTAATGTACATTGCAAAAGCTTTTTCCTTTTCCCAGAGACCTAGAAACTAACTCATGTGGGAAAAGCCTTTTTAATCCCAATATAAAACATAGGAGTGAAATCTGTCAATTGTTAAACACACTGGAAAATCCCACTTATTCTGTAAAATTTGCAGGAAATTCCTATTGCCTATCTCTGTTTCCCTCTAGACAGACAAAATATTTTCTGTCCCAATCTTACAGTTTGACACATAGTATTTTTGCAAACACCTTAAAAGCACTTTACTTTCTGTGTAAGCCAATAGCAAGCACTTCATGAGTGCTGGCAACATCTTAGAAATGTCTTGTAAAGGATGGCTGAGAGATTTGATTTCTGAATGCCAGATCCCTTGATGTTGAATACGTGACCACAGCAAAGGCAAGGAGGTTTAATTCGTTGTTCTGACAGGCATTTTCAGTTTCTCTTTAAGTAAAAACAAATAAGTAGGTCATTTGTCTTTCCTCAGATGACATTCCTGCCTGGAACAGATACAGCTGCAGTGTGAATGGAGAGCTATCCTCATATGGCTGGGAGCACGCAATGCTGATGGGCGAGTTAAGTGTCCTCAGCCACCCCTTCTCTCCTGCAGTAAATTCACCTCGTGGGCACAGGCTCCTGGAATACAAAGCTGCCGCTGCTGCTCACAGCTGTGCTGCTGTCACTGTGCTGGTACAGTTGTGTGTGCTAGAACACACGCCTTAAACAGCTAGAAAACTCATGGTGAGTCAGAGCCCTGTTGCACCCCATGCAGTATCACTGCAGGGTGGTTTATGACAGAAAGCAAAGATCTCTGTGATCTGTAGAAATGATGCTGACAGTCTGGTAAATATAATAAAACTTTCACCAGACAAAAGGAGTTATGTGGTGACAAATGTCATCAGCTACTGTATGCTACACCACTAAAATGTTACCTCCCTTTGCTGTCCTGCTCAGTTTGCTCTTCCATGCTCTTGTAAGCAGAAATCATTACATTTAGCAAGATGTCATACCTGCTTTTTAAAAAAATGCTTTCTGTGTGGTGACATCACACTTTGTACTAGAGGTGTTTGCATTGCTGAAAATTTGAAAAAGCAAATGAAAATACTAATAAAATGTTGTCTGAAATGTTTAAAATGTAATTTTTCTTTAAGATTTGAGGTCCCACTAAATAATTATGTAACAATGCTTAAATGCAGTCTTTTCTTAGTCTTTCATTAGGCATAATGAATATAATGTAAAGTCACATCAAAAGACAAAAAACACACCACCATGAAACGAAACCCTTGTGAGTCCTGTCATTCTTAGGAAATCATGTTTGGCAGAAACTTATTTCTTTTAAGTTTCATTACAAGGTAAAAAAAAAAAATAAAAAAAAAAAAAGTAAACATATATCTCCTTATGCCTGAAGGTCTGAAGGTCCACTTCCATGTCTCAGTGTCTTTTAAGAGCGTTAGGCCAAGTTCCAAGAGGGATTCACTCTCTACTAGAACTCCAATCCCCTCAAGAGCATTAGGCTTAGTGCCAGCATTCATTTACTCTTGGAACAGCTTAAATTAACTCCTGTTACATTCTGTCTAAACCCTTTCTTACAGAGTAAGAGTTGAGAGCTGGATTCAGTCGGTTAGTCTGAAGGCCACCCATCATGCTTGTCTGTTCCCAGACTTAAAATGCTGCATAAACTGGATTGGGGAAGGCAGTGATCAGCTGTTTCTAAGTTGAGGGGGAAAGCTGGCAAGCATCTTTTGTATACATGTCCCCATTTCACGAGAAATAGCGTGGGGGTTGGTCTGACTTATTTAACATAAGTACATATGACAGTAAGCTCCATCCAAATGTGAGATTTTAGTAGGCTGTACAGTGTACTAATGGTATTTTGATACTTTCCTGGCAGAGCTGAACAGACAAGCTAATCAAAAGACAACAAATATCACTGCTTGGCTTTATAAGTCAAGAACGGGATTGTAAGATTATATTTTGCCCAATGTCAGACAGAAGATTGAAATGGAAAGTCTCACAAAGCCAGACCTTTAGCCTATTCAAACTTATATGGTCTCTTTAGAGTATCACTTCTGTTTTACTTTAGCAAACATGAGAACAGTTTGTTTGCCTATGAGTACAAGGCAAACACTCTGAAGCAGGTAAGGATGTAAGCACAGGGAAGACAAGTTTTCTGAAAAGTGATAACGAAGTGTTCTTAGCACATTTAGAAAAGTACAGGGTGATTAACAGAACTGGACAGTCATTAACGTTGGCCAGGTGATACTTTGGTCTCTATCCAGAGGCTCAAAAGTCCTGTACCAATGTCTTCATGGTGAAGGCTGGAAGTTGACTTCAGGGATTTCCAAAGCTGCTTTGTATGACTGTTATTCATAGAACAGTTGGAACCTTTCAAGGTCATCTAGTCCACCTTCCTCCAATGAGCAGAAACATCTTCAGCTAGGTCAGGTTGCTCAGAGCCCTGTTCAACCTATTTTCATAATTTCTATCCATCCTTCCTCCACAAGGAAAAAAGAAAGCAAAACCAAACAACAGAGAGATTACTTTCAAGGAATCTGAATTGCCTTCCTCTAATGAAAATATTTTAAGCTGTTAGTTTACAAAAGTCCAGTTGTTTTGTATGCTTTGGAGATGGTGAAAATGGAACTAATTACTAGACAGTCAACATACATCCACTAGTAGATCTGAAAATAAATGTGAGCATTTTGTGGCTAGATAACACTGTTTAGCTCATAAATAAGAGTTCACAGCAATCTTTGCAGTTAGGAGCTACACTATAAATATAGCTTATCTTCAAATATTTTCAACTTGCTAAAGTTACTTGAAAGCTTATCATGATAGAGTCCATTTAAAAGGAAAAGAATTAAAATTTATCTAAGATATGTGTCCCCAAATACCTCTCATAGCATTCATTTATACTGACCTTTCTAACACACTGTCTTCCCACACTCTTTGTATGTAGTTAGCTGAAAAACATTGCTGGTGTATGTAACAAGTTCCCTCAAGATTCAGAATTACTTTTTTTAAGTGAAGTTGAAAATCAGAGAAAAAAAGTTGAAAACAAAATTCTTACTTAAAAAAATTAATTTGAGAATAGAAGATAGCAGTAATGAAATTGGAAAGATTTTAAAATGCAGTTTCTAAGTTGGCAGTGACCTTTTTGTGATAAATATTTGATTTATTAAAGAAATGGTACACAGACTGTTTAAAAGCTAATGTGAATAC